ACAACGAGGATATTTCAGTCGGGTCAACAAGAGCTTCTGCTCCCACACTGGAAAAAGAAAAGTATCATGCACCTCCATGTTGTAAGAATCTTTGGCTTCACCGTGGTATGCATATTTCAAAGCTAGGCATGAATCACTCCAACCCGGCGACAATTCATCTGCGAAAGGGCAACGTGCGCTCACCTTGGCCACCCCTCTGACCACAAGATCACGGCTTGGTGGTTTCTCACCAAAGTTGAAACTGCCAGCCAGCACGGCGTGTTGTTGCTTCAACGCTTCCAATCGCTCCTGCTCACCTGAAGGAAGCAAAAGAGCGCTTGCCCTCTGCGCTGGCCCTAGCTTCCGAGGATCAATCCAATCCTCTCGGCAAACTAAAAAGACCCATTGGCACGGACCGGGCATGAAACGAACAAACCTGGTGGTGAAACAATACTGTCATATGCAGCGTTTAATCGTGTACATATTCGTAAGGGAAACCAATTCAGTGTTGTTGAGAGGACTGCAACAACGCCAAACAGAAATCATACCTGCAAGAGTTCTTTCAAACCAGTTCTGAACAGTCTTTTTGCAAAAGAAACACGGTGCAAGAACAGATACGACGCATTGACGCCTTTCAGTATGCGCTTTGCCAGAGCACTTGTGGAAGTCAATCACCATTCCTTTCCCATGCGTGTTTGTGACCTTTCCCGTTTGGGCCGGCCGAGCATACGTTGAAAGCACTTAGGTATGTATGTAGATACAGGTCTACTAGATGGGTTTATCCTCAAAACTTCTTCACAGAATCTTACATGACCCTTTCGCAATCACAGATCACCATCAATGATTCAACTTCTCAACACCCGACAAAACAAGCCAGCTTGGCTCTAGAACAATCAAGTTTGATCTTTTTCGGTACCCAAAAAAACACCCTCGCAAAAAATGATAGCTTCCCCTTTAAAGGGAAACATCTTTTCCTTTTTCCACGGACGCGACAGCCATGGCCGAGCGCAACTCGGCCATGGCTGCTCATGTAGGACATCTACCTTTTCATTTCCACCGCAAGCTGAGGCACACCAGAGCCATGCTAATGTGAAACAATGCTTATTTGCCATTTCCACCGTTGCATCAATGAGGACAATTTTTTCTGTGGGGGAACCCACCATTTGGCCAGAATGCCAGAAATGTTGGTAACCAAACTCGCTTAGGGAATTTCAATAGAATCGGTTGAAATCTCAGTAAGCCCTGCGGCACAGTTTCAGTAAGCCCTGCGGCGCTGGATCAGTGGTATCAAGCAAAGACGGTCAATCCAAAATGCAAGTCCGGACTGGAGTGTGAGTCTCAGTAAGCCCTGCGGCATGGTATCCCCCAGGATCTGGGTCTATGCACATGCAGCGCCCCTCGACGGGGATCACACCACAGCCCTCAGTGGGACCCTGTGGCGAAAACACACTTAGATTGTTGCTCGCAAGAGCTAGTATCAGTACGAAGTTCCCCTTGACTTGATGAACGGAATGAAGCACGAGAACCGAAAGGTGGCTGAGTCGGCGAACTTGTAGATGTTTAACAAAGCTTCAACTCCTATGCATTAGCCGCTTTACTGAATACCTAGCAGACCGCCTATGCATTAGCCGCTTTACTGAATACCTAGCAGACCGCCTATGCATTAGCCGCTTTTACTGAATACCTAGCAGACCGCCTATGCATTAGCCGTTTTACTGAATACCTAGCAGACCGCCTATGCACGAGCCGCTGTAAACAGTTCTAAACAGTTTTGCACTCAGTTTTGCAGGTACGTTTTCACACCTACCGCTGCCGGTCTTCGTTGGCCACAGCAGCAGTGGCAGGTCTGTGGCCCCCTGCCTCTTTCTTCCGCGCTGAGAAACTATATGTTAGTAGCGATACCAGGAGCCCTTAGTAGCAAAACCAGGGGCCCTAGTAGCATTCTTTGTGACTGAAAACCTTAGGCACAGGTGTGGACACACACACAGAGAAGCTTTCAGGACAGAAAGAAACCCACTCTGCCACAGTCACTCCAGAGGGCAACTCCCTGTCTCTCACAGAGACGCTCCTCCAGAAATAGGCAGAAGAGCTTTCATACAAGCGCAGAAGCAGCAGCAGCCTTCTTCAGAGGGCCTCTTTCACTTCAACAGTCTTGCAAAGGGCACCCCCTTATGAGGGCAATCTCATCTCCGATCGGGTCCTGCTCCAGCATGATCTGGTCTTGAATGCGGCTTCCTGCAGAAGTTCATGATGTCGAGTCAGCGTCATCGAAGCGGGCGACGGCGACGACGAGCATTCCGTTTCGATAAAACGACTGAAAATACCCAAGATCCTACCTACTGTTTCCCGGGTCAAGACATCTTGGTCGTCTTGAGTGGTAGCTTCAATGATGCTCACTTTGTCTAGAGTTGTATTCTCAACAGCTTGCGCCAAGGCAACTCGCTCACGGCGTAGTTCCGTTGGCAACTCATCAATGAACGAACAACACTGTTTGCGCCACAATCGATGAGTCGAACGGCTTGACCCCCTGTTATCGGTTGATTCACGCGGGCAATCTTCAGGCTTGAACTGTGGCTTCTCTTCCCTTGCTCGGTGGTGGAATGCCCACAACGCAAACATGCGTGTGCGACGAATCGTGCATCCCGTGCTCTGGCAGTTCTGGCCGCCTTTGCTGAACCCTTCTTGGCGCTACCAGGCAACACGGGTGGTGGTTGAACAAGGTCATCACGAAGGTAAATCTCACCTCTAAATTCAAACAATTGGTCAACCCATTGCACATACTGCTGGATTCCGGGGGCACGAGATGACTCTTTCTTTGCACAAACATAAAGCGGTGGCTGTCGATGCAAAACATCCCAGTACAGGTTTTCCCCTTGAATTGTCCGTCCGATCTGAAACACAGTGTCGAATGTCATGGGGGCTCGACCGACGACAGTGTCACACGAGTTCCTGAGTCGGATGAGGTGGCATCATTTGCACGGACCATGGACGACTGTGCCTGCGACGGGCGGGGACGTGAACCCTTACCACACGTTCCGGGTCGGAAGGCCATCATGGGAGTGGCGGCAGCTACATACACAAACCTTTCATTTTCTGATGAATCACTCTCATAGGCTAGGTTGGCAGTCGGAGTTGTCTTCGGGGTTGTTGTTGCTTGCTTGCAAAACTTGCAACCAGGGTCGCCTGCCCAATGTCCAATGCCTCCACAGCGAAGATACTTTGACTTGGACTTCAATGCACGAAGCTTGGCACGGCGTTGCTCAATGCTCATCTGGCTTCGGACAAGATGTTGCCTTTGCCTTTGCCTTTAAAGCCTTTCTTGCCAAAACCTTTACCTTTGCCTTTGGCCTTGCCGAATGCATTGAACGCAGCGAGCTGGAGTTGGATGGCTTCTCCTGCTTGGCGATCGTCGGCCTCTTCTAGGTCCAACATTGCGTTCAAGGCAAGCCTTCTTCATCTTCAAGATAATAGAACTCCTGCTCTTGCTCTTCTTCCTCATCAAACCCATCCCAACCAGGCATGGGAGTCGCCTTCATCGAAGTTGGTCTCAAATTGTTTCTTCCATGGCTTCCCATGTCGACGACGAATGCTCATCCACTTCAGGGTATGAGACATAGTATAGGCAGAGCGGTATGTTGATTTGCCCTTTCCTGAATGCTGGTTCGAATAGCTCTTGCCCTTCCAAGACATCGGTGAATTGCCATGTCTTGCCACCTTTTGTGAGGTGAACTCCTGAATAGTGATCAATGAGAACCTTGCAGTATCCCTCGAAGTTCTTGGGTGTTGCACAAGCTTTGGTTACAAGGATCTCCTGGGAGACAAGCCTGACAGTCCGAGCAACAACTCGGCACGAAGGCAGTCACTCAGCATCATGGTCGAGTCCAAGCGATTGCGCTCGTTCGTGTAGGACAACATGGATTCTCCGGCTTGGCGAGCTAGAGGTCCTCCGTGCTTTCTCCCAGCAGGGAACAATTCCTGTGCCTCCTCGGTGGCACGTGGAAACACGAAGCTTTCATCTTCTGCAGCAAATCTTCCAATCCCTCTTCGTTGGTTAGGGCATCAAGTCCGACGTCCCTTGCCAAGAGGAAGGCATCTCCACGCAATCCTTCGAGGATCTTGTTCACAGAATCGTGCTAATGTCTGGCTTGGTCAGGACTATTTCCTCTTCTTCACCTTCGGCATCTCTGGCTTCTTCGACGATGGGGACGACGACGGGGTGCTTTTCCGGGGCGCGGCGTCTCCATAGTAGATAGATGTACGAACCAGATTTGGTCTCCAAATGAGTAAGTACCTCCTGCTGAGTTCTTGCCGGGTCGGTCGCTGGACATTCCGTCTCTCTGGCCTCAACAGGCAATTTCAAGAACACTCGGTTGCAAGTTCTCGGACAGAATTGCACGAACGAATCCTGGATCAGCTTTACGGGATTTATCCGGATGCAGTGGGACGTACCCGAACCTGCTCCGCTACCAGTGTGAAAGTGCACCCGATTTCGCCGTCCGATATGCTTTTCTGCGCGTGCGTCAGCGCGGTCAGCTCAAGGGCCCTGTGAACCCAAATGGCAGCAGAATGTACCATGGACAGAACTCGGCTGTACACCACGTCCGTCAAACAGGGAAAATTCACACACACACATACATAATATATATATATATATACACGTAAAAGCGCGTAAATTCGGAAGTCGATGAATATTTCAGTCGTCCTCATTTCTGGGTATTGAGCCACAGGCCCTCAAAGCCATTCGTAATTACAGTTGTCTCAAGCAAACTTACTTCGAATGTGGGACTGTCAAACAACTTGCGGTCACGGTGACCATGATCCCTTTACTATGTATTAAAAAGATATGTGATTATCTATCTTTTATATATATATATATATATGTGTGTGTGTGTTATACATCCGTTTCAATGTGCCTCCACTCCTTTCTCCCTGAATTTGGTGCCAATTTGGGACTCAAATTAGAATAACACACACACACACACCCTCCAACTGGAGAGCTGAGCTCAACCTGGCCCAGGCTCCAAGATCTTCGGCGCCAAGCTGGACATCCGCGCCGATCTGAGCGGCTGCCGATCGGCACCTGTGGCGATCGGCGGCGAATGTAGTGCAGTCCCGTCACTCGAAACAAGACCGTCCCAGAAGAAACATACAGGAAGAACGTCCAATCAAAGCAAATTCAGCAGAAAAACATTCATTCAGGACCACTCCGCAACAACGCGAATTACAGGGAAGATTGTTCAACAAATGGGTTGCCCCCGTCCCATGCACCCCTTCCCGGGGTGAACCGCTGCGTAAATGGGTGTGACTATCCCCAAAACTCATAATGTCATAAGCGGTGTTTTTGCATGTCTTTGCGGTGTTTGCGTGCGTAGCACATGGCGCAGGTGCCGCTTCAAAGCACATGTCGTTCCACAGATTTGGACATGTGCGTTGTGTCAAGGATACTAAGGATCGCAGCACCACCCTCTTTGAACAAAAGCAGGGCTTTCACAAATACAATTTTCCTTGGTCACAAACGCCTGCCATTCTGACCAGTTGGTATAAGTTTTGGGGCAACGAAGTTCTTCCTCAAAGCAAACCTACTTACTGACTACAATTCTCGAAAGCAATGTCCTGCAGTAAAATGAGGAATGTACTACAAAATGCAAGACCAAACACCATTCATCACAGATCAACATTTTGATTGATGATCCGTATGCCAGGCCGTTGCTTCTTATAACAGAGTAATACAATTGGGGTGATCCTTTTCAACCACCCGTTCCACACATCCCCAGGGCCCCAACATGGCTGCAACATCGCTGCATGGCCAAGACACCGAGCTTCGATGGAAATTGGAAGGATCCGTCCTCGTCCATGGCTTCCTCGATGTTCTCCTTGGCCAAGGGAACTGTTGAAGGTCAAACAAATCGCGTTTTAGAACTGCGTTCTCCCACTCTGTTCCTGCGTGACAAACAGGTTGATTCATCATGCTCTTGAAAATGGCCCATCCTGGCCCAAATACATGAATGAGGAACCCCCGAATAAAATGACTAAACTTGGACTCCCTGACTCACCACAACCACTGACTACCTGCCCAGTCACCAGGCTTGCCACACTCAGCACCGGCCGGCGGCCTTGGCGACTACCCTGACGACTGCGTGACAGTGGTAGGGCCAAAGCCTGGTCGTGGCGGAGTGTAGCATGCCCAGGTATGGCGGGCAGCCTGCAACATGGGTCAAAATGATGCCATTTTTTGGTAGACTAGTAGTACACGTGCAATAAATATTGGGGCGTACATTTGGTCGGAACAATAGGTCGGAGCTGGAATCTTGGCCATTTGTGAACATGTCAAGTGCCACCTTGCTGTGCAGGGAACACCAACCCTTCACTTGAGCATCTTTGGGGATGGTTATTGACATATCTCATATAGTTAAATATATTGAATCACCTCATCAACTTCATCTGACTGGGCGAGAAAAAGTCTCGAAATGTCCGCCTGACTACGCCTTTCTGGCAGGTCAGGGAAGTCCAGTGCTGGTTCGAGGTTCCTCATGGCGTATTCGCTTGCGACAGCGACGCAGAAGCAACAAATCGGTCTGGTGGATCTTGGAGCCGGGTCGGCCAAAGTCAACATGGTGCTCTGTGCGTAATGACCTAAGCTACCTAAGGCTTCGCCTCAATCGTTTTGAATTGTATAACGTCACCTGGAAGTTTATCACCGGATCTGGTAGGATTGTCAGAATGAATCTGTTTGGTGTTCTTCGCTTCTCTTGTTCTTTTCGAAAAGCCTTGCGTTTGGGGAATTTGGGGAGGGAAACTTCTTGGATTGGATCGAGGCTGCTCCTCTCATTCTCCGTAGCCTTGTCCAAAAGACTGGTGCATGCATCGAAATGTCTGCTGCGCACTTTTTGTCACTGCCACCTATTTCAGCACAGCTGTAACAAACACATCGTGAAAATATGTAAACATGAGAAACCTCTTGAATCCTTTCCTTGTTCCCACAAATAAAAGCACCAAATTCACTCCTCAACATGCATGTTATATCTGGTTCTGATATGAGGCAACGAAGAGGAAGTGCATACTGTACGATACGATACTGTATAGACAGTATACAAACATTCTATCGTACCCATACCAGCATCGCGGCTTTCTTGCTATGACTGTCGCATGTCGCTTGGCTTCCTAAGCTCCAAACCTTTACATTGCAACTTTTGTCTAGAGTCTATGGCACAAACAAAATCGGACACCATAGTCAAAAACTGCCTGTGGAGTAGTTGGCATAGGCTCAAATGAGTGCCTTATCCACGTTGTGCCAAGGTGGTCTCTGTTCTGGACTGAAAACTTTGCTCCGAATAATCTGAAGATCACAAATCCCCGCCCCCTGTTCTTGGAGATTGCGCCACCTCCTCTCCAGGCCCAAAGCCTCCTGGTCCCCAAGACCAGTCTAAGCGTCTCTGCGTCGCGGCCCTGCGCGGCTTGCGGCCGGTCAACACGGGCCAAAGGGAACTTGCAGGTCCCTGAAACCAGGTACGAGGCCCCAAGAGCAATCATGGCATGAGAGTGTGCAAATTCAAGACCATCCCAGCAACAGCGATACATCTGAATTTGTGGCAAGGCAGGTGCCTTCATCAAGGGCCAAGCTGTGCTGTGTTATGGAAAGTTGCGGAACATCATACATGGCGACCATGATTGTTTACATCGCTGTGCTATGTGTTTACATGGCCCACAAAACCGATGTTCGGGCTCGGATGTGTTCCGACTGCGGATGGCAAACTGCGGAATCAAACCGGACAATGTCAAACCCAAAATGGCCAAAGGTGCGTCATGCGTGAAATCGAACAAGTCACCCACAACTCCCCCGCCTCCGGGCTTGCTGACAATTGCCGTGATTCTTGCCCACTGTCAATCCTTATAGGACTCGGCTGCGTGCCCTCCGAACACAATTGGCTGCAACCTCTTCGCCAACATGAACCAGGCTTTTTTTTGCGAGAATGCGCCTACCAGCCTAAATGCCCTACATGCCTTGCTTGCTAGCTTGGATTTAATGGAAAATGCGGCTTACTCTGTCCAACCTTGGAGACATAAAACCTCATGGCGACCGTACGTAGGTTTTCAATGAGCAAACTGTTCTGATCTCTGTGAAAAGATATGATTCATATATAAATATAAATATATATATATATATTCATATGATGACACGAGTATGAATTGCATACATTGACCCTTGCTAGTTCATGGCTAGCATTCGCTAGGTGCCCACCCTAAAGGGTTTGACCGTTTCATCCCAGCTGCTCAAGCCACGAACTGGCCAAGCTGTCCAAGCTGTTGCTGTTGCGCTTTTGTTGCTCTTTCCTGAGCGGATTGATGCGGCTCGTGTTCCATATGAGTGATGAGCCAAACATTTAAGTGATGAGTGCTAGTTCGGTTGAAGAGTTGACGTGTTGCATACAATATCATACAATTGGGACAACAACATGACATGTCCGCAATTTGCGCTGACAAAAGCAATGAAGGTGGGACATTTGGCAATCAAACTTAACCTCAAAACTTGTGCATTCCAGGACGGGTGCAAACAGCGATGAGGATGATGGTTCCAAAGAAGTCTCTCGCAATCACCAGTTTCAGTTTTACCAAAATATATGCCGCTACCGGCGCTGTTTTCAAGCAACCGCACAAAAGTAAGAACATGGCAACATGGCTGCCATGGCTCGTGAAAAGTACACTCCATCAGTAAATAAACAATCATTCAAATCTAAACTTAAACCTGATCAGTGGGTCAACATTTGAAGAGCACGGCTCAATTGCTCAGAATCGTTGTCTAGAATCTAGTCGATCAGGGAGGATGCCTCCAGACCTACAGCAATCAGGGATGTATATAATTAACTTCATCAGTTGGACGAATGCGCGAAGTGCCGTCAGGATGAAGTGTTGGTGGGCCAAGACTCTTCACAGCCTGCACCCCTACAACTTGGGAACGGTCGTGCAATCGCACAAGGAGGTTGCTCATCAAGCACGTACACCCAACCAACATGAAAACTTACACTCAACTTCTGGTCCAATTTGTGCGACAAATTCGGTACTTTTCTCCTCTCTGCCAAGTCGCTGGAGCTCTTTCAGCAGAGCCAGCGTGGCTGCCTCTTTGGCAGCTGCATCCCTGCGTTCGTTGGACAACTGCAATGTCTCTGTCCTGGGGTGATGGCCAGGTCCACATAGAACCTCCAGTCTCATACTATGCCTACTATGCCTCCCGATCTCTCCCCTTCTGACTCCTGAGTCGTTTCTCTGTTTGACCGTTTTCCACCAGTTCGTTTCCACTCAGACAACCGAAATATATATCCAGGTTATCCACTGACTCGGGAGGCTTTCCCTGAAACACACGACATAACAAAGCTACTAGTAACAAGGGCATCGCTACTAGTCACAAGTAACAAAGGCATCGCTGACAAGGGCATCGCTACTAGTCACAAGTAACAAAGGCATCGCTAACAAGGGCATCGCTACTAGCAACAAGGGGGTCGCTTCTAGTAACAAAGGGCATCGCCGCTACTAGTAACAAGGGCATCGCTACTAGCAACAAGGGGATCGCTTCTAGTAACAAAGGGCATTGCCGCTACTGGTAACAAGGGAATCGCTACTGCTACACTGCTAGTTACAAGGGCATCGCTGCTAGTAAGCAGGGCATCGCTACTAGCAACCAGGGCAGCGCTACTGCTACTAGTAACAGGCTAGTAACAGGGGCTTCCCTAACAAGGGCATCGCTACTAGTAACAATGGCATCCCTACTAGTAACAAGGGCATCGCCACTAGCAACAAGGGCATCGCTACTACTAGTTGCTAGTTACAAGGGCATCGCTACTGGCAACCAGGGCATCGCTACTAGTAACAAGGGCATCGCTACATTACTACTAGTTACTAGTTACAAGGAAATCGCTACTAGCAACAAGGGCATCGCCGCTACTAGTAACAAGGGCATCGCCGCTACTAG